CAAAGAATCAAATCAAGAATCAAGGTATAAGAAGGCTACTTGTTTCAAGCACTGCTTTCATATTCAGAATCAAGTGAACATAAGATTAAAATATCCAAACAATTTTCTTCCACTGTAGCTTACTGAAGACCTGCGATCAAGAAGATAAGAGTTTATCTCATGACAAACTGATGCTTTGTTTCATTAGGCATAGGTTGTGCTTACTTTTTCCTTCAACAATAGCTTATTATAAATTTCCAAATCCACCTGAGGGTGGGGGAAAAAGAAGGAAAAAAGTGATTTCTTTTACACACTTACATGGTTCAACACAAATGTACGTATCTTGGCATTTATGACCAGAAATAATATATCACAGCCAATTAAAAACAAAGTACAGCTGACTTATCAAGTACTGATTTTCAAATTTACCAACATTAAGTCCCCAAGTATATCCAGCAGATGGTGCTCTAGGACACCTACTTACAGTGAGTAGTACCGTTCGTGTTACATACACCTATAGTTTGGCAAGACAAAGAGTAAGGATTTATCAGTAGCTTCAGTAAAACATATTAGGCTTTATGATAGAAAGAACATAATTCCTAAATATGTGCACAAAAATATACATATGCATAAGCGCATGTGCACAGAAGCAACCAGTAAATAATTCACACCTGGACATAAAATGATACTACTTTTCTTATAGACTGATGAGTAGTCCATGTATATCAGTGGTATTTATAGTCATATGGCAAGATCATTCTAAATTCATTAAAAAAAAATTTAGAATGCCTGAAAGTTAGAATTCATTTTTAATTATAGCAGGAATGTCTCATTAGGGTGATACTAGTAAAATTAACAACAGTAGGATTTACGGTAATGACTTAAGTGATTGATGAGAGTATAACAAAATGAAGTTTTAGACAGAGAAAAAGCAGGGCAGCTATGGCATACAGTACTCTAAAAAACAGCTCTGTGGTCTGTTAGTGCTAGCCTTATGGTTAATAAAACCTTCTTTCTAATTAATGGTGCTGAAATATTCTTAAAGAACAGAATCTTGTTGTTATGAAAAAAACTTAAATAGTTGTGTGTGTTTTTTTTTTCAGTAGACGCCATTCCCATAAAGGAGAAAGCTGACATAGATTAGCATGTCTGATTGCAAAGAGGGAAAAAAAAAATGCCACCTTTCAATCAAATCAAAAACAGAATGTGAGAATGGAAAAGTACTTTACTGAAATACTATATACACACATCCACACAACACCCTCACAGTCAGCAACCATTTGTTTCTCAAGCTAATCAACTGTGCTCAAGCTAATCAACTGTGACTTTTAAAAAATTACTCAGAAGCCTGAAAATACTTAATAAGCATTTAATTTTAAATGCTTAGTAAGCATTTAATTTTAAGTTTATGAACTAGTAATACAATATAAAAATCGTAGATAATAACTATTTTGTAAATTTTCATCTTGCTTATAAGATCATTTCAAAGTTTAAAGTATTTAAATGTCAACTGAAGGCACTGGGGGATATTTTCTCCAAAATTTGCAAATGTACAGTCTGTATAGCATTATTCTGAGGGAAAAACGAGTGCTTCAGGAAAAGCATTTTGGTACACAAATTCAGTTCTAAAACACAAAGAGTACTAGGGCAAAGGGAGAGATGCGTCCATGTAGAAAATACCTTTCATTAAAATATTCTTGGTTAATTTTATTTAAAAATCTACAACTAATTGGAATTGTATCTTAATTTTTCTTCTCAGTAAGAAAATTGAATTCCACAGGAAATAACTATCACAAAACGAGTCAAAGATGAAAAACTATCTGTTATACAGGAAAACAAGGCTTTTGCCACGTAATCTAAGCAGAGTTTATAAAACATGTATATCCTTTTAAAAGCCCAAGTTATACTAAATATAGGTTTTATCCAGCTGAATTAGCCAGATCTTGCCCAAGCAATGTGTATTTTAGTACTGGATAACATGATTTAAAAAAAAAAAAAAGAGGAATAAAGCTGTGAACTTTATATATAGCACTAACATCAGATTTGTAGAAAACGGCGCAGGCGTACGACCCTAGGAAGGAAAATTACTAGCTTATTCTCATAATTTTTGAAAACAAAACACACAAACTAAATGCTTGAATGAGACCTATAAAACGCAGAAAAAGCAATAGCTTAGTTTTCTTTAGTTTTCCCTTCAAGAAAGAAAAAAGTCTGTATTCAAAAATTTAAGTTGAGGTGTTGTGTGCATTTACAGACCAGACTGAAATTTTATGTAAAAAAAAAAAAAACAACAAAAAACGTGGCTGTTTCTTAAAGGTCATTTATATTGCATCCAGGAGATACAATACAGGAATAAGCATAACCTAAAATTCCTCGACTTCAGCAGCTGCATCGTGGAGCCATCAACAAGCCAGAGGCTTATAAAATCCAAACCAGCTTGCATGAATGTGTAAAACACAGTCCACACTTGTGGTAAAAATGTCTTTGTTTTTGTTTGTCATTTTCTTTTGAAAAGCTTGGACCAACTTGTTCATTTTTCTATTCTAATGTGTGGAAATTCTCATTATATGAAAAAGTGCCTATTTGTCTTTCTCCCAGATTCAGCCTTCAAAGCTAAAGCAAAATTAGATTGGGACATCAGACACTATAAAAGGGCCAGAAAGGATGAGGTTTACTTTGAGAAAGGTAATTTAATTTAGTCAAGATACATTACAATTTTCTAAAATTTTTATTAGATGTGCTGTTATGTTATTCTTTTTTTTTTTCCTTTTCATTGCCAGCATTCCTAGGAGTTAATGTCCACCATACTGCAGACAATGAGAAGGTACAGATGAAGTGCTTATGAAAAATATTACATTATAATATACACTCTAATGCCAAAAGGATGGTGTTTGTGTGGTGATTTATTTTCTCTAAGCATTCTGTGCTTCTGATAACACCTTAAGTCAGTTAGTATTGTTGCTTTCATTTTACAGACAAGACAGAAGGACCACAGCAAAGCTCAGAACTTAGATTTGCTTCATTTCAAACTCCAGGATTTGGTCAGTGCTACTTGATTCATTTTTTTAGAAGACATGCATGTAAAAACCATCTCTAGGATGATTTATAAGGTATTTAAATATATATTTCTCCCTTCTGGAAAAGCTGAATATTTCTAGTTCTAAAATACACTTTAATTTCTGAGTAACGGCCATTACATATAAGTGTAGCTAATAAGTCTTTAGCTACTTCTCAGAGTACACATTGGTAATGACCATGTATAACATACAGAACATAATTAGGTCAAGGAAGTAAAAAAACAAAAACCAAACAAAAAATCTTTTTCTTGTGTTTGGAATGCTGTATACGCATGAAACGCATTATTTTAAGGCAAGAGGAAGTACTTCCTAAATATTTTTAGCTAAGTAACAAATTGTATATTTATTATTTATGTCAAGCCTAGGTTTGTCTTAGATGATTTACTGAATCTTGGTAACTAAACTTATAGACAGAGGAAAAAAAGAAATTGAAAGTAGACCCTCCTAAAAGGCCAGAAATAAAGAAGGAGCAGAATGTAAGGGTCCATAATGTAAAGAACATGAAGTACTTCTCAAATGAAAGTGAAAAACAAAATCCCCTAAGTCTACATGTTTAAAAATTTTGTCATAATTACATATAAAATGCAGATGCCTGTATAAATATGTAGAATACACACACGGACACATTACCCTCCCATTTAAACACATACACTGAGTTTGACCTGATCACAAAGACCGTATTATCCAAAGCATCACAGCCTTAAAGAGATTTTTCATATTCTATTTGTATAGGGAATCGTCCTTGATTTGAGTAACATAAGAAATATACATTAGAGGATTTAATAAAAATTATGTTTACCCATTACACAAGACAAAAAAGCATAAACAGCTTTTATAAAATATGTCCCATATACTTTTAAAATTATACACTGGTTTTTGGCTAAGTTTTTTTAAAAAGGTTTCATTTTTAATCAAATATTACACATTTAATAAGCACAGCTTGAAGAAGTCAATCCAAAATGTGATGGACTAAAGCGTATTCAGGCTGTTTCATAATTTGGAGTTAAATGACAGAAGTTAAATACCACGATATTCAGGTAAAGCAATCAGGGACAAAATGGTGCTTCCTTAACCAAATACAGTGCAACTTGCTTTAAATTAAGAAACTGTAAATATTTAAGAGCAGTTAAAATGTTCTACCTTATGAAGTAAAAATCTTAAAAGCTATTCTTGCAGGAACTCTTCAGTGTTGTCATAATAATTTTAATTAAATTCTCATTTTTCAGGTGGTCCCTTTAATTGTTTTTTCCTACTTCTTAATGTGTTTTTCTAAAGCCATTTCTTTTCTGCAGCTGTGTGCGATTGGTTTTAATGGTAGCTGCTTCCTTTTTTTGCCTTCTGTGAATTACAATTTTAAATGGTTACACATTTTTTGTTTTACTGCCTTCAGCATAGTTTCATAAAGATGTTTAAGGCTGTTGGTGAACATTTTCATTTCCCATCTGAAAAACCAAGAGCCAATTTGAATATTCCATATTGGCCTTTTATGACCTGTTTTATCTTTTAATATGTAAATGAAAGCATATTCTTTATAAAGACTGGTTCATTTCCATGAAATTATAATTGTTCTTTTGCTCTTTTAAAATATGAATTCGATAAACAAGATAATATGTGATTGCTCTTTTATGTTATATCTTGTTCGTGAATGAAACACCTCTCTTTTATTTGGTGACAGCCATTTCCAATGAAGAACTAGCATTTTCAGATCATAAGAATAACTTGTAACATGAAAAATGAGATTTCGTACTTGTACTTGAGAATTATCAATGCTCACAAAATGTTAATAATTGAAAGGCTATCTAGACCTTTCTTAAATTACAACTAAGAAAAAGATTTGATAATTCAGTTTCACTTTCACCATGGTAAAAAAAAATGCAACTTCACTGCAAAATGTTATTATACATCACTTGTAACAGTTTACTTATAAAATAAGTTTGTACTTACTGCCTGGGTTATCTCCAATCCCACTGCTTTTTCCATTCCAGTACCAGAGCAGAAGGGTTGCGTCACGTGACCCTGAGAGAATGTAGCAATTTCCCCCAATATAGGACTCAGAACGAGTGAGGCAAGTGACCACATCCCAATGGCCAAATACCACTTGAATCAATTTTCCTGAAATACAAAACAATTTTCTTTAAGACTGCTATAAAATAAAGAAATTCCAGTGACCATTTCACTTATAAGATAATGAAGTCATATTGACTCAGATTCTGAGGATTCAGATTTTACAATCAAATTTGATCTGGTCTAACCTAAAAGTTTTCTTTGAATATCAACAACAACAAAAAATCAATTGAACAATGATAACACTTTTGAAAGACATACTGTTAAAACTACTTCAACAAACAATATTTGAGGACCATGATACCATATCATTATACATGGCTACTATAAATTCCAAATGAATCATGTCTACTGATTAAAGCAGGCTCAGAAGAACTTGTATTTGGAATGATTTCAGCAATTTCTTAAGTTACCCGGTATGATTCAAAGCAAAGAAAACTTAGGTGCCTTTCTTTAAGTACTCTATAGTTCAGACTTTGCTAATACAAACTTGTCTCTGAATTAGTAAAGATTTAATGTATTTCTTTTTTTTAAAGTGATCTATACAAAGACAATATAAGTCACTTTGGAGAGTTCCTGTTCTTTTCAAATTAGAGTTACGTGAACCTAAGTTTTGGTAAAAAGACTAATATATTGTGATTGCAATTAGAGCTGCGTCATTCTTTCTTTGTTTTGCTTGTCTGAATGATGAAAATTCCTTGGTGGGTGATGATGAAGTTAAGATAACGGCAGTTTATCGAACATTAACGACCGGGGACAAAAGGGAGGAACCCAGTACACTTACTATACATCTAGGGAGGGCTTCGGACACAGGATGAATTATTCACATAACAGTGCCGGAAAAAAAAGGAAAGCCCCCACTTTGAGAATCTTTGTTTAAAAATCAGATATAATGTTTATAATTAATTCATACAAACTTGTCTAAAGAATGAAATAAGCTATAGCAGCCCTTCCACTACATCCCTATGGTTTCTAGCTAACATTTCCCTTTGAAATGTCTACAGAACTGCAGATGAATGTCATAGTATGTCTACCTCTAATAGTCAGCATGAGTTTCTTTTTATTTTTGAAGAAGTGTTTCAGTGGGGTAATATAAATAGAATTCAAATATTCAAGAAGACCACTAAGCTGAAAGAAGAGTAATATGCCTAAAAAGTTCATGTTTAATTTGGAAACATAATAACCTATTCAAAAGTTTAAGGTTTCAGTTAAGTATTAGCAACTAAGTGTATTTAACTTTTCAAGGTAATCATAAATATAACTAAAAAAGTACTTATGTTAATTTTTTTAATCTTGATTTTAGTAAGTCTGAAGCTTATTACAAAGCTTACTGCAAATTTTTTAAAAAATGCTGAAATATACTTTACTTAACTCAGATAGAAAGTCAAATACAGTGTGTTCACTCTTGTGGAGAGCCTAGTACTAGTAACTTTAAATTCAGATTCATTTCAGGCTCAAATTGCACAATTAATAAAGTGCATTTTTTCTCCCGTGAACAAAGTCTTTCACCAAAGCAGGTGTTTGTTTTTTAACTGCTAAAAGTTAAAAATGTGTACTTCTGAATTTCTCCAACCTTTAAATTGATATCAAAACATTTCACTTAAAAATGAGCTGTATCGATAAAGAATATGGTAAGAATTCAAGACTTCTTAAAATGAAAAATATGGAAAAGAAAAAGCAAATTAAGTATGAAAAGATATAATCATTTATTTCTATATCATTTCCAATTTATCTGAAGAACGAAGTGGAGAAGTGTCGTGGTAAAATGGGTGGGGTTAGAGTAAAGGCAGGCCTTCTTATAAGGGGTAAGACAAAGTTAGGAAACTGAATGCACTCTTATTACTAATCAGAAAACTGAAGGTTATATCAGTGAATTTTAACTACTGAAAATAATACGCCATATTGTTATGTTTTTTTTTAAAGATTTTATTTATTTATTCATGAAAGACAGAGAGAGAGAGAGAGAGAGAGAGAGAGAGGCAGAGGGAGAAGCAGGCTCCCAAGGAGTAGGGAGCCCGACACGGGACTCGATCCCAAGACCCTGGGATCACGACCTGAGCCGAAGGCAGACGCTTAACCATGTGAGCCACCCAGGCGCCCTGTTGATTATGTTTTTGATAACAGAGTATGTACAGTTATTTCTGTCCCAGCCTACACCTAAGTGCGGAGAGCATGTAAACTCCAGGAATCATTTAAATGGGTTGTTGAGGGTAGGCTTATTTAAGACTTGATACCTATCACCTCAGTGGGTTGTGGGAGTAAGGAGGAGAGTGACTACAATTAAGTAGGTACATGAGGCACACGGTACACAGGAAACCCATGTGCTTCCAGGAGGCTTGCAAACGAGCAGCTGTTCACTTGGTAACTTAACCTAATTTCCAACTCATGAGAAGACAAAGTGGAAAGATTTAACTGTAAAAGTGGGATGAATTAACTATAGTGGCAGAATTTTCCAAGATTCGTTTGTTATTTCTTGGTTAAGTCATTGCCCTATATCTACAATATCAGTGTTAGAAAAATGTATACTCAGTCACTGTGATTCTTTTTTCATTAAAATTTACTAGTGTTTTAATTTTTGCCCCCACAGTTATCACAATTATTTTCTATTCAACAAACATTTATTGCACACCTACTAAGTGCCAAGCATTAGGCCCTCTTATATATACATTGGTGGTAAATAGACATGATCCCTGCCCTCAGAGTATTTAGCGTTTAGTGGGGCAGACAGACATTAAACAAATACAAACATATGTAATTATGAATAGTGGTAAATATTATAAAAGGAAAAAACAAGGTAGGATCAGTGAGAATAATGTAGAATGAATTTAGATTAGGTGTCAAGGAAGACCAAAATGAGGGAGTGACATTTACATATTTACATCTAAAGTGTTTCATATTTTAATACAAATTAACTATTTTCTACAATTTATACTTTGGACTCAACTCTGGAAAGCATTATTTTTTCAAGTTCACTTTTTCCTGTTCTGGCAGCCTTCCTCCACAGTATTTGTTATTGCTATGAGGTTGAGGTTCACTCCTCCTAAATAAATCACAGCATAGAAATACCTGCTGCTCTTTTTGGTAAATTATTTTCTGATAATCTCGTAAGTGTTCCTCAACCTTTATTTTTTGTTTCCTTTAATACCAGTCCACCTCTCCACACACTAATATCAAATATTACCACAAGCACTAGAATATCCCTTTTTTGACAGAACAAATTTTCTAGTTAATGTTTTATTTGACAGCTGTGCTACAAATAAAAAAAATTCAAGCTCAGGACTCTACATCACTGAATCTAAAATGTGGCCTGAAAATAATTCCCACTGCCGAGGGAAGGTTTTATTGTTGCCTCTGCTGTTCTGGTGGTGTCCCGAAAACATGATTTATGTTTAAAGAATTTTCTGTTACAACCATGTTTCTCTCCCCCACCCCACCGCACCCTGAATGTAATAAGAGAAGGTTTTATTTATTTTTTTTGGCTTATGTGCTAAAATATAATTGAATTCAACACTTGTGATAGCTTTGCTATTATATATTATTGATCATACAATTTTCCCCTTGCTTCTCTGACAAATTGAAAGGAGAAAATATTTAATATCCCTATTGTCAAAAAACACAAACACATATTTACCCTAACTGAAATTATTTTAAATAAAACTAGTATCAGAGTTTGTATATAAGATATTAAGATACTAAGACTATCATTTCAGGATTTTTTCATAACTTTTCTGGCAAGTATAAATATTGTACAAGCTAAGTCCCACTGAAATGAAGTTTCAAATAAGGCTACTACTTATAAAAATGTTTTACATACACACACACTCACATATTTTAAAAAACAGTAAGGTGGAAGGTTTTTGGAAAGAGGGGAAGGAATGTTATCTAGTTTATCGAGTCTAACATAACATGGAAGACATACTAGGAACTTAAGTGTTGTAAATTATAGCATTTTCCCAAATTAACCAGTATTGACAGGTGTACCTATCTATATAAGATAATATGGTAGAATCACAAAGAATGCTACATTTGAAGTCAGAAGAGCTGGCTCCAAGGCCCAGTTCAATCACCACTATCTGTACGAATTTCAACAAGTTACTTAAACCTCAGTTTCATCATCTGAAAAATGGGGATAAAGATACCTGTTCTATCTATCTCACAGGACCGCTGTGGGGCTGAAACAGTATCATGTATATGAAAGAACTTTATAAATTCTAAAGAACTGTGTGTGAATGCGTTATTTTAATTATTAGTATTACATAACAGTGAGGTTAACTCTACAAATATTAATATTCAGTGCTTTTTAAAAATGACATAGAATGTCAGCAAGCTCAAAAATCCCCAGATGTCAAAACCAAAGACTGACATAATGTATGATTCCACTTATGTAACGTTCTGGGAGATGCAAAATTACAGAGATGAAGAGCGGGGCCATAGGGCGAGGCTGGGATGGGGGAGAAAGGGGGCGAAGAGGCAGCGCAGGGAATTTCTGAGGTATGACAGAACTGCTCTGCATCTTTACTGTGGTGGTTCTGTGATTCTGCACACTGCCCAAACTCAGAGAACTCTAACCCAAAAGAATTAATTTTATTGTATGTAAATTATAAGAACATTTTTTAAATGTGTAAAAAACAATAAGCCATCTAAAAGAATGTTTAAGAAAATTTTGTGAAAGAACGTAGTGATTTTAACCAACTGAGCCACCCAGGCGCCTGAACGTAGTGATTTTAATCTGAACATTTTTGCCCAAAGGGAGCACAATTTAAGGTCAAATGATTCTAAGCTATCATTACCATAATAGTGAAAGAAGAGGTTACATTTTACATTTAATTATTAAATCAGAGAAAATTCATTCTAATAATAAATAATTTTAGGAGCACATCAACCCCCATGGCATTTTTTTAAGAATTCTGGAGGAGTTTTAGGCGCAGTATCAATCAACCTCATAGACCTAAACATGCAGTAAGCACCTAACTAATGAGAAAGACTCAAATAATATTTTCTTTCTGGACCTACAGAAGGTAGGATGCAAATTATAAAGCTAGATCATTGGTTCCATAAAAGAAAAAAAAAACAGGACAAACCAACAAGATCATGGCAAAAACAACTTCTAGGGTTCTATATGAACAGTACGTATTTGACTATTTTTCCCTACTTTCTCATGGCTGTATTATGGTACTATCATCAAAATGCATAAGGACAAAGTCCTTGAATAACCAACAGTTAATTTTTCAATATATTATACTTAGTAAGGCAGAAGCAAGGACTCATACATTCTCTAAAGATTATTAACAAGACTGAAAAATGATTTACTATAAAACATTAAATTAACTAGAAATTTCAATTAAAAAGAATTTCCTATTCCTACCACATTTAAGCAAGATATTTGTAGATCCTTGTCTTAGTTGAAATACTCTACTTCCACAGTATTATCAAGTTCTGATACATTAATATCTAATTTTAATTCTTTCAAATATTCAACTACATATTTACCATAAGTTGATTTCCTCCTCTAACAGTTTCTAAAATACTCTAGAGAGACTTCATTAAACTTTTCAATTTTTCTCAATGTCCTATATACAAAAATTTATAAACATTTTGATAGATTGGATCTTCCATAATAATAGTGAGTTGAGCTTGGTTTGTCCCTTAGGGAGATGCATGCAAATGAATATATGGACTTAAAATTTTATATTCTAACAAGAGCTCCTGTCACATATAAAATCAGTAGTCAGCTACTTTCCTTCATGATGGTGTAGCTTTCAGCAAGATTCTATGCAGAACTGAGTGGAGGCAAGGTATCTACTAATAAGAAATACATTTAATGAGAATTTCCAGTAAGGGAAAAGAAAATGTGGGAAAATACACCTGTGTGTGCATCTGCTATGTGATTATGTATATACATGTACATATGGTATTTGCAAACCTGGATGTGATTTCAAATGAATCATTCATTCTGTAAGCATGAGGCTTGGGAGATACACCTACTATAAAAAACTGCCTCTTAAAAATAAGCTGAAATTAACTTAATAGTGGACTATATAATAGATTTTTACTTAAAAGGGAAAAACAGTGTCTCTATGTCATACATTTTACAACTTTGTAATTACTGAAAGGAAGATGAGAGAGCATTCTAAGCCTCTCAGTGCTGCTTGTGGTTAACTTTAGCTCACTGATGAAGAAAATAAGTTACCTGTGTCAGTAGAGTAGACTCGGAAACTCTTATCCCAGAAGCCACAGATGAGAATGTAGCGGTTGTCCGAAGTGATGACAAAGCACTGGGAATGGACTTGAATACTTTGGTCTAAAAGGTCAGTGATTTGCCTCCTGTGCATTCCTGTATTGCTGGCTGTGAGAACAGAGGAAGAACAAAAGTCCTACTAAACCCACAACACATGTACAAAAATCCTATAATTTGTAACACTGGGGGTGGGGAGTGAAGGAGGAGAGGCAACACATTCCGGGATAAGAATATTTGATCTCTAATTTTAAATTTTAAACATAGTAATATTTGAAAAACCAAACAGGAAAATATATCTGGCTATTGGAAAAATGTGGGTAGCTAAATTCAACATCTCAGTAAGAAATTTTGCCTCGAGGGAAAAATAATAACATACTACAATTTCAAAATAGTATACAATTCTCAGAACATGCTTTCTAGCTCTTGGGCAGGACCAAACTAGATTACAGTCTCCAGACTGCACCACAGTTAGGTTTGTGTTTCTGACAATCTCATTACACCCATTGTCATGAGAATGGATTCATGTTGTGACAATCTATTACCTTTAACTTTTTGTCACAGGAAAGAGATATTAGAATTTAAATGTCATATATTTGAAATACTAGCATCTTGGAGTACTTTGGCTTTAACAGGTCTTTAATTTGACTAGATGTGAACTCCCATTTCCCCTGTTTACAGCTGCACTTGCATGTAGGGAAAGGGTAGAATGACTATTTATTAAAGATACTCGTAATTGAAAAACTCAAAGCACAGCACACTGCCACTTTCTCAGTCCTTATGTAAGCAATAAAACAAGACAGTCTGGCAGTGTGTTTTCAAAGCGCTACAGAGCACCTGATATGGGGTTTGTCACAAGGCACAAGGTCAGACACAGAGCAACATCAAGCACACAGGAAGAGTAATAATCCTTTAGAAATAGACTATCAAGTATGTCATTATCAGAAAAGGAATTTTCACTGAGAGGCCTTTTTTGGAACCATGAGGCCAACCAAAGAGAAAGCTTTCTTTCTAGTGACCTAGGGTTATTTCACCACCAGCTGTCCAATACAAATAATAGTTCTTATAATAACAAAGGAACTTGATTGTACCAGAAATCAAAACAAACAAAATAAATTTCTGCATCTGACCATTACATTCTTTGTATCATAGTCTTCAGGGTTTTGTTTTTTGGAAAAAAACTCAACCTATAAATGCATTATTGATAAAAATAAAAAACAGAAAAATATTCATTGTACATAAATAACTAAGTTAATGTGACCAACCTAAGAAAAGGTGCAGAAAGTAACGCAGAAGAAAAAAAGTGTTCAAAAATACTTTCCAGTGCTGTACTGGAAACCACTGGGGACACAGAGAAATAAACTTCCCTGCCCTCATGGCAAACGTATGCACAGACGTACTGAAAGATTCTGCTAGCATCTGTTGTACAACTTAACCATGTAAGATCATTAGAGAACTATTTGATAATAGGCTTCATATATTTTGGGGGGATTAATGAACTAGAAAGTGATAGCGGTAGTAAAAAGGGTAGAATTCTATTTGGGGATCACTTCCCTGCCATCTACTTCCCACACAAAGGGAAGCTGCTGGCAAAGGAAAAAAGCTTTTATGGGCATCATAGTGAATCACAGAGAGACATCAGTATCCTACCGCATGAAGCTGTGTGGTACAACTTAGATCTTTTATTCCAAGAAATCTAGCAATTAGGGCGCCTCGGTGGCTCAGTTGGTTGAGCGACTGCCTTCGGCTCGGGTAATGATCCCGGAGTCCTGGGATCAAGTCCCACGTCAGGCTCCCGGCTCGGCGGGGAGCCTGCTTCTCCCTCTGATCCTTTCCCCTCTCAGGCTGTTTCTATCTCTCTCTCTCTCAAATAAATAAATAAAATCTTTAAAAAAAATAAAAAGAAATGTAGCAATTAAAGACAAGGTATGTAATACTTTCTATACTGGTTACTACAGTGTTTCACTCCACATGAAAACTGTAAAAATGTTTATTTTTGTTACTATTTATATGACTTTTGCTTCTATGATATAAACCTTCACTGGTCTTTGGCCTTTTCTTTTTTAGAAGGGGCATGGTCTCTTAGGAGGACCTCATTTCACAGATCTGGGCATGTGCATAATTTTGAACTGAGTGATCACAATGTACCCCCTCCAATGGGTAAAGACTGATGCCCTTTCAGCATTCAAATGAACTATTCTCTAAGCAAATGCTTACCTGTAATTTAATATTGCAACTCCCCCCGCCATCCATCCATCCATCCATCCATCCATCCATCCATCCACCCATCCACCCATCCATCCATCCATCCACCCATCCATCCAATCTATAGAACCTATTTTCCTCACAACTGCCTTTCTTTTATCTTGTCTCCTGAGATTCAGTACTGAAGGTATTTTTATTTAATGAAAATTAGGTATATTTGTCTAAATAAGCAGTCTTCAAACTGGGGCATGCATACCCCTGGCAGGAGGGTGGTATAAGATTTCCCAAGAGATAAAGAGGCACAGATGGTTTTAAGGGAATCAATTTCTAGTTCCTCAACTTTTGTATGTTCTCTTCCCTGAAACAGATTTGCTGAGAACTCTCCTATGAGTTTTCCTTTCTTACATCCCTTTTTGCATGCTCTTCTTCCACTAAATAAAATAAAGGCATGTTTCTTTCCTATCCAGAATCTTACTATGGTGCTTTATCTCCGGGTATAAAAATCTCTTGAGATGCAAATAAGGGGACAATTCAAAATACTGATATGAAGCTGAAAAGTGAATGCCAAGGTATCAAATCATTCTGCAGGGCAGGTGGTTTCTAATTCATTGCTTTCTATAAAATGGAAGGAGGAGCTAATCATGATGTCAACTGATAGATCATTAAAAATAAATTTCAATGATAGATTGTTAAAATGACCATTTAATGTTAGACCATGAAAATAATTCTTAATAATAGATTACTATATAAATTTTGTCACATAATTTGGAAAGAGTTCAAAGATTTGAATGACATTGTTAAAACAAAATTCTTTCCTTTCCCATCTATTTTCTTATGTGCGTAACTTTCCCCAGGGCTTCCACCTCCTAAAAAAAAAAAAAAAGATAGGATAGAACCGTTGATGAATCCTGTCTCATTCAGCAACAGATAATGTTCATTCATAAATACTTGAGCAAAGGGGGGGTGGAAGCCCTATCCATTTCATTAAAGATATTTCCAATAAATGCTTGTTTTTATGTTTAATAATATCTAATAAAATTTACAATTTTAATAAGTGTGTAGTAATAATATTTGTCATGATAACTCAGTGTGGATTAGTTTTTAGAAAAACTAAGTCTCATGGTCATAGGAAATTTTAATATTTAAATTTACATACCTATATTTAATTTTCCATGTATATTTATTGCTGAAAAGTAAAATAGGATAATCAATTTTGAAAAGTTAAAATAAAATTGTGTAGGGGAAGTAGAATAAAAATATAAATTTAAGATGAAAAAGGAATGATATAAAATTTTCAACTGTTAAGAGCTTTTTTGTGCATTTTTTTAAGAACAGAAAAATGGTGACTATCAATTCACTTTGATATTTACATTCCATTCGATATATTTAAAATTTTATACACTATGCAAGAAATTATAGCCTTTGCAACTATATAAACTTGTGATGAAAACTTTCAGATGGTCCATTAAAAATATGTGAGAAGGTACATGGTTTTAAACAATATTTTAGGGGATACAGAGAGAACAGTCTGGTGACCAATAATGTAGAGTAGGGAAGAAAACTATGGCCTGGGCCTGGTTTTGTATATAAAGTTTTATTGGAACACAGCAATACTCATTTGTTTATATATTGTCTATGGCTGCTTTGTCCTATAACAGAATTAAATAGTTGTGTCTGAGACCTTATGGTCTATGAAACCTAAAATATTTACTATCTGGCCCTTTACTGAAAAAGTTTACCCATGCTTGGTCTGAAGGGTGACAGTTGCTGAAATCATTTTTAGACTTGACTGTAGGATATTCATTGTCAAGTTTTAAGGCAAACAATGATTTATACTTCATAAACGATACTTTTAAAGGACTTATCAAATGGACTTTATTTTCCTGACTTTTAAAACTTTACCCAAGTGAACATTTTATTTTTTAATAGATGACAAATCATATGTACTCAAATCAAAAGATGATTTAGGAATCAGAGTAGTATTTATCCTTGTGGTTAATTCCTTCTTAGATTTCTGCTTATATGTGGGGGACTGATAAATGAATCAGTTTTGAGCTTAATGTTATTTTAGTTCATTTGCAAATGGTAGTCACTTAGCTCTCTACTGAAACAACAAGGGTTTTAAAGAGAAAAAAGGTGACCTACACATACGGAACCCCTTGGATTTTAAACTAATAAGTCAGCTCATTCATCTGCTTTATTTAAAAACTTAAAAATTTTAACAAATTTATGTGGCAGGGAAATTTAACAAAATCACAAACTAAGCCTCCACATTGGTAGCATACCCCTACAACAAGGCAATTAAGTTTTTTATTCTAAAAGTTACTGAATAGCATCTTTAAAAACAAGAAATGTTAATATGTTCTTATCAGTAACATTCTCAGTGAAGCCACATCCGAAATCCCCACCCATAAGAATGAAAAATGCTAAACTAGAGATTTTAACTTAACTGACTGAAAAAGCACAGAAGCAATTAAGTATTCGAAGTCATCTGCTACGGATGCTCATTTCATCCCAAAGGCTCTTCCTCGTCTCCCCCCTTTTCCCTTTTCCCTTTTCCCCCCTTGAACAAATTTAACCTCCAGTGGCAATTTATTGGGCTGTAGGACCATAGGAAAATGAATACAAATATCTTAACACTGCCATTGGCTGGGCAATATATTTCAACTTCGAAACTGCTCTGCAATTGCACATTAATCCCCTCAGACTGAACAGAGGGTCCAGGAAGAAAGGATTGATCTCCTTTAATGATGAAACCCTGGCACTACAGTTTTATTTTTCACAACACAGTGCTGCTAAGAACCCCACTGTTATTATGAAAATTTCCCTAGCAAAGGAGCTCCATCACATTACCGGTGCACCAATTCATCATAACGTGCCTCGCTCCTGCTCATCAACAAGTCTGAGTGATGAAAAGATCCAATATTATCCTGACAGTACTTCATGCGCATTCTCAATCACACATTATTACAGCATCCATATTAATTTTCAGTGACACGCGTCCTAGGCCTGTTCAAATTAGGCAAACCAACGAGGGGGAGTTGATGAAATACCAGCATAGCCACAGCTCATTGCATTCCAATTTGCATGCAAATGGTTTATCAGGAAAATTCCATTCCCAGCAACCAGCAAGTGAAAAACAACTGTAATCTACACTTCAGGGCCACCATACAGAGCTTAATGAATCGCAAAGAGAGAAAGAAGTGACAGACCTATGAGAGGATCGATTTCCACTGGCAGCTGGTATGGCTGGTCTTGTACTGCACCTTGATGAGCTGGAATTCACAAAAGATTTTAAAAAAAGCATTATTTTTCATATACTAAACTACATAAAAATGCTTAAGTCAAGTCTTACGTAGAATTGTTTCCAACCTCCAAATCTCTCACTTTTGTGAAATTTAAAGAAAAAAAAAATCCAGGTGCTTTTATGGCTAGCTTATGAAACATTTATTTTAGATTAGTGCTGTTCTGAACATGTGCCATCAGCAGTGGCTCCGGTCCTGGGCCATAAGCTATAGCAGATGCTTGACTGGCAACCTCTGATGCTGCAACAAAACAAAATTAAGTGGTAAAGCGCGCTGAAAACAAAATGTGACAACCATCTGCTGACTGTAGCAAATACTGTTTTTTTGTTACTTCTTAAAAAGGCAGTTTTGAATGCTGCAGCACAAAGGATCCACAAAAACGTCAATTTATGATGGCAAAAGGGAAAGCTCTAAGTCAGGGAACATTTAATGTTTCATCCATCACTTAAAACCAATCAATTGAAAGTTTGAATAAAAATAAAGAAAGCTATCCGCAGATAAATGTTTTAGTTAAATGCATTTGGCTGAAATATTTTCCTCAAGATTGGATTGAGGTTTTTAAGAAAAGTTTTATTAATATTTAATATTTCCATGGTTTCAATTTAAAAATACTCTGAGAAGCAAATGAAAAAGAACAATCAATCCATACTAAGAATAGTTTGTTCAAGTCTCAAAATGGTTCTAAAGATTCTTGCACACTTATTTTGTTATTGAAAGGAGATTCTTGAGGGCTGTTACCCTGTGAAAGGTAGAAGGATTTAAAGAGGAAGAGTGCTAGGGAGCAGGAACCACTGCCGGCTACTTACGCAGAGTTAGGCAAGCATAAACCCGAAAATGAAGGCTTTGGAGCAGATGAGTTTTTCAGCTTTGTAATTCTGGGAGTTAAATTCTGGGCCCTTTTCCAAATTATTTTCCCCGAATGACTCAGCCACTCACTCTGGTCAGTATCTGCCTTTTATAGACTCATCAGCATTTAAACTACTGCTTAGTTGGTATCAGAACTCTGCTTAATACCATCATATTTTAGGGAATTTTTCTGACTGTCCTTGAGGGGCTGCAAAGAAAAATGGGGTACGTTCCAATGACTTCATTATTGTTAAAACTTATTATGTCATCATTTCCCCTGTTAGCAAATACCGATTTTTCAAGGTGGTTTCAAAGATCATTAATACTGATAAAACACCTGAGTAAGTACAATATTAGCACTAAAAATTATAGTTGAGTATGTATAAGAAATTAAAGTAGCTGAAGAAAGGAAGCTGTATAACTCAGCCTTTTTTTACCGAAGGCACTGTCTGCTGATCACTGGCTCTGCCAGCAACGAAATCACAAGACATATACAGGGAATGTTCAGGGAGAAAGCATCATAGCCTCCGATTTACCCCACAGTGCTATCTAGTTCCAGTAATACCAGTGCTGATCAACATCTATACCTTGATAATTATTCTCTATTTCTCTTAGAATCTGGGGTCATAGAGACACGAAAGACACAGTGTCAGTGAAACTTAGGAGGGTAACTATCTTTGGTCGTGCCTCAAATTCCAGTGCTGCCACTGAACCCCTTGTGACCTTGGGCAAGTTATGTAGCCTCTGTGATTCAGTTTCCTGATCAGTAAAATGGGTTAGACTGAACAATATGAAATTAACAACCCCTGACATCTTGACCTATAAAGAGGAGATTTCATATGGTTCAACCTAAAAATAGAAGCTACATCCTAAGACTGTTGAGGGGATTCAGTGAGTTAATACATGTAAAGTGATTAAAACAGTATCTAGAACCTAGAGAATGCTCTATAAACGTTAGCTGCTATTCTTTTATTTTGTTCGCAGGTCCTGTAAGGTCCTATGAAGGAGAAGGAAAAATAAAGATGACTTTTTTTTTTTTTTTAAATCAGGACTCAGACACTGCTGAAAGAAATGACAGGAGCTAGCTGTCTAATGAACAAACTATGGAAATCACAGTTTCTCAGAAAAGGACCAGAATCTAAATTTTAAAAAAAGTAGTAGAACATGAATTTGATATTCATTGCAGAAAAACTGTTAGGGATTTCTGACATTTTTTCCCTGACATTTGTTTTAAATCATGGCATATCAAGGCAAGGGAAAGGAAGAACAAGATAGGATGAATGATCAGATTTATATAAACATACTTGAAATGAGACACAGATTTAATAAAATGGATGCTTAATATTTTTAGGTGTAGGTATAAGCTCAGAATTGGAGATCACATTGTAGAAGGATAACTACTTGTGTATTCCCATATGTATTTATCTGGTGAGCAGCTGCTGTGTCATACTGTAAAGCCAGAGGGCAGGAACAAAACACAAGGGACATGTGTCTAAATGGGTGTCTCTCTATTGTAGGGGGCCCCTAAATGTGGGGTGAAAGCCAAAGGCATGGGAGGTGAAAGAATTCACCTGAGGCAGAACAAAGAAGTTTACCGAATATACTGCAGGGGAGTGGTGGGCAGGGCAGCAGAGGAGAGACAGTCTGCCAGGAGGTAGTGGTTGGGCGCTGCTTTTAAAGGGAGAAGGTGAGGAGGTATGGCAATGTAGGGAATCTTCCCTTCTTTGGGAACTGTGCCTCATTGTAAGTAGCCCACTGGTTAGTTAGGGCCTATGGGTATTTTGAGGTGGGGTGCCTGGGGGGCCTGTCGGTATTCTATCACTCAAGCCTACTTGCCTAAAAGCGGCCTCGACATTCCCCACTGACAGATCAGCAATGACAAATCTTAGACATTCGGGTGGAGGTTTCATCCTCAGTAGTACAGACACAAAGGAGGCTCACTGGGGAGAACAATAGGCAAAGAACTGGCAAAACATATGCAGTCCTCCAAGCTTTTATCTCACAGAATGGTGAGCTTGGGCTAGGAACAGCTGGGTGTACCTTAGGTGGTACTTCAGCGGAGGGATGCTGCTCCTAAAGCACTTTACATATCTATAGAAAAACTGGAAGTAGGGAAAAGAACACCTGACAACCAAGTACTAAGGCAAGCAGGCTTTCCAGTCAGGGAAATGGGCTTGCTCACGATGGGAGTGCCAGGAGCTGTCATCAGTACTTCTGGAGTATCAGCTGGAGACCTAGTGAGTAGCCCTTGGGTGGAGCCTGCTCAGTTCCTGCTGAGCTTGCTCTTTGCTACGCTCAACGAAAGACAGTGGCAGAGAGTAGCCAGGGCTTTCCAGCAGCTGAAAAGGTTTGTTTCCCCTCATACACGTTGTCACTCTGCTGTCACTGAAGAAGTTCTCAGAGCTGCCCCAAAGAGCCCCTGAGCACAGGCATCATTTGTGCTGGCCCTGATGCTGCACACACTGGTGCTTTCGCGGAGCTCTAGGAGTAAATGCACACTGACTAGGTAAATCCTCTAGTGGATTTGATAGCATACACCACCAGCATGTTTTTCCTCTAACGGAGTGTTATTACAGAATCCAAAAGTCACAGTTGTTAAATGATAATCTTTATTCCCAAACTAAGTCATCCGCATGCACATTTACCACTGCAAGGTAAGTTCACTTGAAGAAAAAGGAATACAAGGACCTAATAATAGAGACAGGGTATACCTGCCTCGATTTCTACCTTCTCTACTTTTTCTGCAATCTGTTCTCTAATCAAATACTCGCATTCATTTCCTTTCTAATAGCCAGGGAAATGGCCATATTTAATACATTCTGATACCAACCACGGACTCTTCAGGATGGCTACCTTACCGAGCAAAGCCAGTGCACCAAGTTTTGCTTGAATGTCAATTCAATTCTGTTCCATTCTAAGAGCTTTTGCATTTCAATTGGCATGAGGCCCTGTTCAAGAATGTATATTTTTTGCAACCAGTTCAGGTATTATAATGAGCAGTACTTTATGTACACTTTACAGATTTAGTGACAAGTTATCAGACTATTAAAATCTATCTCTTAAAATTTCCTACCTAAAACAATGGCTTGGAAAAAAGCCTATAATCCTCAGGACTTTAAAAGATTTTCCTTCTTAAAAACAGAATTTCTAACTAGGCCAAAAAGAACAGTGCTAGATCGAGATCCCAACATTCCGTTCTAATGAGAGGCAATAAATCATAGAGGGGTGATCATAAAATGTGAGTCAGAAAACTTGGGTTCAAACCTGGCTCTGCCACTGACTGGCCCATATGTGATACTGAACAAGGCAAGCTCCCTGGGGCTCAGTATCTTCCCTGGTAAAACATGGGGCTGGATTAGATGAACTCTCTGGTCTCCTCAAACTCTGGTTTATGATTCTAATGGTTATTTCGGTCTCATGCCTTAGTTACCCTAACTATTCAACACTTAAGGGGAAAACAGAATGTACTTATGGGTTTGTAATATTCTGGCTCTATAATTTAAGTGTTCTTTTTTTTCTGTCATCCATGACAAATACTATGATGTCATGCACAAAAAGGCACATTAAGTAGACAATCAAAAGTGTTGAGTACATGAATAAGTGGAAAAAAGGAGACCATCTGATAAATAAATACATACTATTTATGGACACAATATAGAATATTGTATTAAGATAGAGAAATAGTATTTATCTGCAAGAAATAAAGACAAACCACCAGATGCCAAAAAACAGTTTATGTTTTAACATTTGTATTCTATGCTTCAGAGGGGACTTCTTTAAGCCTTTCAAACTATTAAATATTTTGATTCAGACTAATGCTTGAAAATTGAAAAGTTTCATTGTTGAGATACAATATATTGAAGTAGATATTACAGTATCTTTCTACAGTATTCAGCAGGTACTATGCATCATAATGGTATTTCTTTACTTACCAGGAAGGCTGTGCCACTTGTTCACTGCAAATAGCCTGTTAGCAGTGACTGTGATTACAGCAGGAGTCGCCAGACCAGGCTGGGTGTTAGCTGCCACGTGAGTGACAGGGGAGTTGGAGGGAAACTTTAGGACCATGATAACATCCTGCTGGGCTTGGTCTGTGAACATCAATGGACTCTGCAGGAGGAGATACTGTTGAGTGGGCATGACAAGACCCAAATATACAAGAAGGAAAAGACAAAGAAAGACAAGAAAGAGAGAGGGTGCAGGAAAAGAAGAGGAAAGACTATGTTAACACAAGTTGCAACTGAGAGTGTGGTGAGCAGAAAGGTTTATAGAAACAGCAATTAGGATTGGCTTGTTTTTCACGTATGTCATTAGCTGAATGTTTTGGTGATTGAAGTAGAATAACATTAACAGAAACATTTAAAAAATCCATAGATTTTATTAGCTCCTTTCCCCACCCCACTCCCATGAAGGACTAAAGAAATGATTTGATTTAGATTCTAAATAGGCAAAGTACTGGGGATTGCCTTAAACCATTCCAATTGCTAGTATGTGTCAAGTACGAAAAATAAAAAAAAAAAGAATGAGGATAGGCAATAGGTACAAAAGGCAAGGTAACTTCCAAAGATCATCAAAAGTTGTGTTAGCACAAAGATTTTGACAACTAAATAAAGAGATAATTAAAACAAACATATTTATAAACAATAGTTATACAGCATGTATTATTACAATCGAGAAATAACTTACGAACGTAACATACAAACTTAATTATAAAGGTGTTTCAAAGCAATGCATAATTAAATGTACTTGTAAAAACAATATATTTATATAGTGTACCAAGTCATAAACACTGCCCTATTATAATGCAAATCCTGCTCTTTTCTGCTATGCCTAAGCATAAAGAGAAATACCTCTCTTGGTAAAAAAAAAAAAAAAAATAAATTAAAGCCCAAGACTTTTGATTTCTCCTTTGAAAAGCAGCAAGTAATTGAAAATGTTAAACAAAAAACACTGTTCTAATAACTAGCAACAAAATAAATCTTGAAGACTACTAAGGATTTAGAACATTCCTACAACTCATATGTCATAATCCAAGACATATATAATACCACTGTGATTTACCGGCTTTATTTATATGTTGTGGTAGTATGCTATCACAGTAATTGCACTGTGCATTTCCAGCAATCCTCTTCTACCATGTCTATTTTCTAATAGCTGATTAGTATCATTCACAATTGAAACACTTTGATGAAGTGCTTCTGGCTGCTTTCCTATTGCCATATTTCAAAACACCAGGTATATGTAAATGTGTAGGCACATATATTTAACACGTATTTATTCAGAACTGCTAATAAAAAATTAAATACATTTGCATTTTTATTATCAGTCCTTTTAAAAAAGTTATTAAGAGTACTTAGAAAAACATATTGCACTAAGAATTCCTATTTGCACTCTTTGCATAAAGGTGTAAATAAAGGCAACTAATAAGCTACCCAGACACCCTTCTGAGCAAGTGGCTAAAAGCCAATCAATATTATGAGTTAATCCTCCCTGGATGCTCATTCAATTAAAGGTGTCAGTAATGCCTCATCTGATGTGGCCTCAATTAAATCCAACTATCTGATGGTGTGAAAACACAGGGGGATACAGCAACAGCAGTGAGGCCAGACAAATAGGCAGCCTTCGTGGGCCTGCTAATTACTACACCTGGTGTATATTATGGCTCACGCACTTAACGCAGCACGAGGTGGCTTTAATTTCTGCTATATTTGTGTGTGGGGGGGTGGGGAGGCACTGAAGGTTGATGGGGGGAGCTCATGTAAATGGTAGTAAAAACAATAAACATTTGGGCCTTTGATTTTTAAAACCTCTATATCAATTAGTAATTTTTGTTACACAAAGAACCTTTTATACAGTTTTTAAGAAACTCTGTGGAATTGGGCAAAAATGAGAAACAATGAGCAACAACAAACACAATACCCTAACAAGCTAGTTTTGAAGAAGTCCTGGGAAAAGGAAATGAACATCGTTTCAGAATACCAAGCCTTATTTTTCAATTATGTAGTTTAAAAAAATAATATTTACTAAAGTCAATCTATAAACTCTGAGAAAGAGTATAACATACATCATAAAGTGTCACTGAAAGGAAGTTGATACTTATTTTTGAGCTTAACAGCTCATATTGTAAATACGATTAGACTGAAACTGAGTAATTCCAATGTTTATGCCCTTAAAAAAAAATACAGAAAAATGTGTAATGTGTAGGAAGAATGTCTCGTTTACATAGTGACTCTGGTGGGCCAACTCTCAGCCACATGGCAAGGACAAGCCACTTCCATGGAAAGCCGTAGACATCATATCCAGAACTGCCCACCGCATTTTTATAACAAGGTCTCCCTCCAGCCTGTTTCTACATACTCCATCTTGACTACTACTCCCAAGGCAGGCAAGCAGTGGGAAACTCTTGGGAGTTTCACCACATCCTTGGCTGAGAAGTATGGAATAGGGAGCACGAGACATAAGAGAAAGCACAGCGCAGCATACTGGGCTAGTCTACGGGGACGGCGACAGCGACAGCTGTAGATGAGCACAACGGGTAAAGCAGGGATGAGAGAAGCAAACCTTCCTCTAATCCTGGGTGCCTCAGGGAGCCGCATCTAAGGTAGAAGGGGAAACTACTAGCCAAATTTCATTCAGTTGTCCCAGATTAAGTGTACACTTGTTGACAACTCTGGTTTCTCTCCAACACACCTTTCTCTCCCACCCACATATATGTAACAGGAAAACACAATTTGCCCAAGTTTGGAAAGGAGTTCAGGGATTCAATTCAGAGGATAAAGATATTGGGAAAGCCTGTATCCCATCCTTCTATGACCATGTGCCTTCCTATCCTAGAAAGGTGAACTGCCTCAATGGATTCTTTGCCATGGAGAGAGGCTTGGCAGTAGGAGCTCCCTCCTTGCCCCAGTGACCAAGGCTGACCAGGTAAAAGTCAGTGGAGCAGTGGAGGTGAGTGTCCATGAGCCGCCATCATAATAGCCTGAGTCTCACTGACAAGCTCTTACTAAAATTATTTCCAAACCATAAACAGAAATCATTCTTACTATTTTTTATGGCATTATCTTACAGTGTTCTTGTTAAATGTTTGCTTTTTATATCATCTTCTGCTCAGTAAAGTTACCCTTTATGCTCATTTAAGTCTGATCTTACCTGTTTAAAAATGCTTAGGGGGAAATGTGATACAAATAATTTAAAAAATGCTTGTAGTTTATTGTGATGGCCAACTCATATAACTAGAACAAGAAGGGAAAAAAGGTCTGGAAGGAGAAAGATGACAAAGAGGGTGAAAGGGAAAAAGACACAAAGATGACGGCGAGATGGGAAAAGAAAGAAAAAAAGAAACAAAGAGCTAGAGGTGAAAGGGCCACATCTATATGTCTTGCTCTCTTTGCTCCTGTCTCCTTGCCATATTGGTCAAAATTCTACCATCTCCAACTCCTGATTCTGGGCTGGCCTCTGACTTGCTTTGACCAATAAAATATGGTATAAATGATGTTATGTGAGTTCAAGAGGAAGCTTCAAAAAGTCTTGCAGAAGTGTTCTCTTGGAACACTGTTCCTACTGTGAAAGTAGCTTGAACTGACTTCCTTGATGATGAAAGACCAAGTGGATAGAGGTTTAGCCACCTCAGCCCACCCCACAGCAGTGCGTGAGGGAGCCAAGGTGAAAAGAGCAGAAGAAATGCCCATCTAACCCTCAAAATCACGAGCAATAAAAATCACGGTAGTAAGCTTTGGGTGGTATGGTATACCAAACCATCTTTTCTTCTCACTGTGGTCCCTTATCCTCAGTAACAATATCCTACACATTAGGATTAGTTTTAAAATTCCCAAACTGAAAATCATATTGGGATGTAAAGAACAAACACAATAGCAAAACTAATCTAGAAACTCATAGAATCGAATTAGAAACCTCATCCATCCTATGTCTGAAGCCATTATCCTGCAGTGAGGATTATGTGACAATTATAAACCTTTTAATTCTGCAACACAAAACTGATGAACTGATGAGATCCTAGAGCACTGGAGCTATGTTTACCTTTCCAAAGACTCCAGAACAGCATGTAATAATATTTGGTGGTTGTTAGCAGGTTGACAAACATCGCATAAAAAGAACAGACTCAGATGTGGTAGAGAATCTCAAGTACAACAAAACACGGTTATGAATGTTGAGCATGGTCTCAGAGAGAGGCAAGAAATGAGAAGAGTGTAAGCAGCACTTACCATTTGCATAGCAGAGCCTCTGGGAGGATGGGGCTCTATGAGTAGTTGAGAAGGTGTCTGTCCAAAACTTCGAATTTGAGCTTCAACAGCCTGAAAAAGGCATGGGCAAGTTTGAGGGTTAAGAGGTGCTAATTATAGGCAGTAGAACCCACAACTGTCACCTGAAAATGTCATTCCATACTTCTGGCTTGTTTCATGTTGAAAATCAACTTTATGTTTTCACAGTGGGTCTAAGCACCTGGCAAGGGCATTGAGGGTGAGGTCATCCTTTAGTACTGTGTAAGCTTTCCTATAAAACCCTGCAAAACCTTCTCATCTTGCTCAGTGATATGAAACAGAAACCAGCTATTACAATCAGAAATTGTCCTTTTTGGCTTCATCTCTGTTTTCTTGCACTTTTTTTTCCCTGCTTGCATCACCCCTGATGACTACAGCTAATCTTTTACAAGTATAGAGAAAACCTATTGCTGCTTTGATTCTAGGGCCCATTTCATCCTGGGAAGTAGAAAGGAGGAAAAAAGAAACACAGCACCTGTGAAAATGGTTTGATGCCATTATTTTTGTCATAGGAAGAGCATTATTGTTGACAGTCTCTTTGAACCTAGGTGGCTAAACAATGAAGTAAAAGCCGTATGTTGCATCCAAGCATGAGACAGTTAAACCAGGGACTAACTAAACATAAGAAACATGTGCATGCCCTTTTTGAAAGATGTGTGCAGGCACCCTTTGCAAGGCACTCCCTTACCATGGATCTTCCTGTACACCTAGCACAGATGCTCACTTCCCAATCACCAATAACTCCTTTATCATGGGAAACTTCTAAATGCCAGATGCTATCACTGTGTGTAATTATTTTATTTGTTTACTTGTTTATGCCTTCCTCTTCCACTAAAATACAAGATCTATGAGAGCAAGGACCTGATCTATCTTCTTTACTGTCAGATCCTTAGATTGGATGAATGAATAAACAATACAGTATGTGTGAGGAGAGAAAAGGAAACACAGATATAGAAAGACTATTTCCACCCCCACAATAGTCAGGATTCTAACTTCCAGGTTAAATGAATGAGAAAACCTCTCAAATTCATAAGCGAATATATGTTCATCATGTTATTTTTTTTAATCCCTAAGACCACAGATCCTTAATTTTTATATGCTCTGCAAGACTGTAGGCAATTAATATATCATAAACAAGGAAATATAATCATTTTCTAGTATTAATTTCCTTTTTTTTATTTGTTGAGGATACCACTAGTAGTCCTTTACAATGAACCTTGTAAGAAACAATGATAGCAATTCATTCATTTATGCATTCAATAATCGTCAACTATGTATATAGCAGTATTAGGTCTTAATGTTTCTGCCCTTGAATGTATTCTCAGTATGGGAAGCAGGACAAATATACTCAGAAGGTTAAACAGCAGTTTGATGTAGTCAGGCCAATAAGTTTAAGGAGTACTCTATGACTTGCTTTAGGCAGAAAAGACTGGAAAACCCCTCTGTGAAAGCTGAGTGGTATGATGGCAGCAGCATGGGTTTTGAAATCAAACAGACCATGTTCAAATCCTGAATGCATACCACTTACAAGCTCTATTATGATCTAGGTAAATTATTTAATAGCCATCTCTAAGTTTCAATTTTCTCTCCTCTAAAATGCGGATAATTTAGTATCCAGCTCGTCATGCTATATTAAGAATTAAATGATATTTATGTAAAAAAACACCAAAGTGCTTAGTAGATTAGACATTCAATATGCAGTCAGCAAATATTCATTAAGGGTTGATAATAACAACAAATATTTATTTAGTACTTACTATTTACCAAGAACTTTTTGAAGTGCTTTACTATCTTGTATCAGTTAATCTTTAAACTATATGATGTGAGTCCAGGCGCCTGGGTGGCTCAGTCAATTAAGCATCTACTCTTGATTTCGGCTTTGGTGGTGATCTCAGGGTTGTGAGATCTAGCCCTGTGTGGGGCTCCGAGCTCAGTGGGAGTCTGCTTCTCTTGCTCTCCCTCTGCCCCTCCCCCTGCTCGCACACTCACACACGCACTCTCTCTCAAATAAATAAATCTTTACAAAAAATAGACTATGATGTGAGCCCTTTATTATATCCATCTATCTATAAAGAAAATAATGCACAAAGAACTTAAGTATCTTGCCCAAGGTCACACAGTAATCAAATGACAGGCTCAAAATTTGCACCTACACAGCATGATTCTAGAGCTCATGCTCTGAAGCTATCCTTTCTTCTTAACTGTTAGGTACTGTGGCAAGGCCTAGGGATAAGACTGAGCACAAAAAAAAGCATGAGTCTACAATTGAATGAATTAATAAGTTATCTCTATCTCTATCATCATCATCATCATCATCATCATCATCACAAAGCATGTTAAGACACAATTAGGAGAGTAGCATGGTTAGGTAAGTTTGGTTTTATATAGCAGGAGGTAAGGTTGGCCCTAGACTCTAGAAACAAGAAAAGGAGCCAAGAGGAACCAAGGAATGGAGCCTAGGATCATTTCAGAACTTTTAAGATTTTTTTTTGATGGGGTTAAATCAATTTATGATCAACATCAGGACAATCTTGAAGAAGAAAAAATATCACACAATGGGAGAACTTGAAGCCTAGAGGTAGTCACAAAGAAGGTGGGAGCACCGCTATTTCATGATATATGGATTTACGGACTGAGTTTATGAATGTGAATCTTAAATTTCTTTTAAGACCAGTTGGCAAAGCCAGCACCTTTACCCCTGACTGCTGCTTTTGGTGGTCCCTGCCCAACAGCCCACATGTCTTTCCCCTATTTAAATGCGGGGTGGGGGGAGATAACTTGCACACGTGGCCTGTGGCACTGACTTTGCCATTTTTCTGCTGTGTGATTTTGGGCAATTAGCTTAACCTCTGTTCCTCATCTACCAAATAGATACTAATAATGCCTAGTTCACAGAATTATCTGGAAAATTAAAAAATACCTGCAAAGTACTTAGTATAGTACTTAGCACATATAAGGCACTAAATAGAATGCTGCATTATTATTAGGTTTGGGACTCAGCGTGATCCCCATCTAACACAGCTAAAATAGGGAAGGAAAGGAAGAAATGTTTCAGGAGTGAATAATGATAATGATGAACACATTGTTTTAGGAAACTGAAATCTGGCTCTAGATTTCAAAATATACTGCAGGGCTAAGTACCCAGAAACAAAAGTATGTCTTCACAGGTTCAGAGACCAGTCCAAAAGAAAAGGGATTATATACCCCAACCCTATGGAAGCTGTGGTATTTGAAAGAAAGGGATAAATATTTATGGACTAAGGAAAAATCAACAGGTCTTGGAGAACGATGACTTTGAGCAATGAAGAAAGGACAGACTAATTCTTTTTCTTTTGAATTTGCATATTTTAGAGAGTAGTAAAGGAATGAACGGAATTTTTTTTTTAAAGATTTTATTTATTGTTGACAGAGATTGAGTGTACAAGCAGGGGAAGCAGCAGGCAGAGGGAGAGGGAAAAGCAGGCTCCCCGCTCAGCAGGGAGCCTGATGTGGGGCTCAATCCCAGGACCCTGGGATCATGACCTGAGCCGAAGGCAGACGCCCAACCGTCTGAGCCACCCAGGCGCCCCAGGAATGAATGGAAATTTAAGTTTCTTTTGGAGAACTAGTTTGCCATAAGAAAATATACTTTATGTGACATGTGAATCTGAAGTAGTAGCGATAGCCATCTACCCAGGCTGAGATATCCAATGAGCAAAAGAAAGCCCAAGATTGGTTCTGACATCAAAGATCAATATTGATTTAGGTGTAATTCAGAAAAGAGAAATGTTAAGTCAATGGTTTTAGATCCTTCTCTTTCCCTGTGTATATGTGTGTATTTTTAAGCAACAGAAATTACTTCCTTTTTCAAGTGAAATATAACATAAAACCCCAATATATCAAAAACGTAGGTATAGGGCTATCTACTTTAAAGGTGGACAAAGCCAAGCTTAATAAACTTCCTTAGCAGCTCCTGAGACAATTCTGAGAAATCTTAGGGCTCTGGCACACAGTCTGAAACTCACTGGTTAAGCTCCAGGAAGAAAATACATGAGACCCACGCAAAAAAGGACCCAGAGCTGAACCTTGGGAAATACTCTTATTTCATATAAGGAACTAATGAAGAAAGCAGAGGAAGGAGAAGGTAGGAGTCAAGGGGCAGGACGGAGTGATATGGAAGCTGTCAGGTGAGAGTTCCAAACACAGAATGGTCGGTACCATTAACTACGACAGAGAAACTAAGAATCATGACATTACAGCATACAAATCTTAATTATAGATATAAATTTAATGTAACCGGTCTTAATACTACATATCCCGCTTCACACTTTACATTGTTTTGAAGTGAAAAGAGTATGATGGGGTCAGACAACTTTCAAAAATACCAGTGTTCTCTCTTTGTTTTCTTAAAGGTTTATTTATTTTAGAGAGAGAAAGAGAGCGAGAGCATGAGCTGTGGGGCGGGGGGGGAGAAGCAGATTCCCTGCTGAGCATGGAGCCTGGTGTGGGGCTCAATTCCAGGAACCCGAGATCATGACCTGAGCCAAAACCAAGAGTCCGACACTCAACTGACTGAGGCACCCAGGTGCCCCTCTTTTTTTTTTTTTCTTTTAGAGTGAGAGACTCTTGAGTGCATGAGCAGGGGCAGAGCAAGAGGGCGAGAGAGAATCTTAAGCAGATTCCACGTCCAGCACAGAGCCCCAAGTGGGGCTCAATCTCACAACCTGAACAGAAATCAAGAGCTGGACGCTCAACTGACCGAGTCACCCAGGGGCCGCCACCAGTGTCTCTTTTTAACACTTTTTTCTAAAAAGTCTTAAAATTTTAGAATTTGCACATTAGTGACCTCTTTCAGGAAAAGGCTTTTCAAGTCATATAATGGTCTGAATATTCTCTCTCAATGACAGAATAAAAGTTGTATTATCCCACACAGGTTAAATAATAATTTTCTTTCCAAGTCCTCCCAACATCTAAAAAGACTACAGAACTCTTAGGCACAACTACTTTAATTCTTGACTAGCCTTTGAGTTTTGGTGATAAAAATACAATAGGAA